GTATTTCATTATTGTATTTTAAGACTTTTAATTTACTTTAGGTTATAATTACATAATGGTTAATTATGACCATTAAGTATGAATGTTAAAACTTTTGAAATGCCTTTAATAGTTTCATTTTGAGGCTATATAAAGCCATGTATGTTGTATTTGTAAGGTAGACTTGGAAAAATATAATAAAAGAAGCATTTGTGCTTTCTTTAGCCAATGGCTAAGTTTATTTGCAACTCTATGTAGTTTAGGTTGCATGTAGAATCATTCAAGCTCGACATGATCAATCTTGCTTGTGGAGTGATTTGAATCTCGATCAAGTGTTCTTGTCTTGAGATATTTGATCAACAAGAATCATTGAAGCTAGACATGATCGATCTTGCTTCTGGAGTGATTCGAATCTCAAACAAAGTGTTCTTGGCTTGAGATATTCGATTAACAAGGTAATCCGAATCTTATTCCCCTTGTATTGATTCCTTATCTTATCACTTCCTCACTAACTCCTGCTGGAATGAGTGTGCCTCGAAGGATTTCTACGCTTTCCGAAAAGAATCTCTCTAATCATCCGGAAGAAAATGAGCTTCCACAATGGACCGGAACATGGAGGATGTGTGATAAGATAAGGAATCACTACAAAGGAAATAAGATTCGGATTACCTTGTTGATCGAATATCTCAAGGCAAGAACATTGTTTGAGATTCAAATCACTCCACAAGTAAGATCGATCATGTCTAGCTTCAATGATTCTTGTTGCTCAAATATCTCAAACACTTGTTTGAGATTCGAATCACTCCACAAGCAAGATTGATCATGTCGAGCTTGAATGATTCTACATGCAATCTAAATTACATACAATTGCAAAGAAACTTAGCCATTGGCTAAAGAAGAGCACAAATGCTTCTTTTACTATATTTTCCAAGTCTCCCTTACAAATACAACATACATGGCTTTATATAGCCTCAAAATGAAACTATTAAAGGCATTCCAAAAGTTGTAACATTCACACTTTATGGTCATAATTAACCATTATGTAAATGTACCGAAATTAAATAAAAAGTCTTAAAATACAATAACTCTAAATTACTCTAAATTATAACCCACCCAAAATTTACAACAATCAAACTTTATTCTTCTTCAATGTAGCATGAATTGAAACATCTTTTGATAATTTTTGCAACCTTTTCTTCACATCTTCATTGAAGTATATTGTATGATTGATGTCTCTTGGTTCATATCATTCTCCACTTCTTCAAGAGGATTCGTCCTCGAATCTATTTGTGAAACTTTGCTGCAAAAAATAAGTTATGGAAATACAAAGGACCTCACAACACTCTCTCACGTGTATACACTCAAGGAATTTTAGGCCACTCTGTTTGCACTCATTTACACAAATGAAGCTCTCATTCTCACCTCTCAAAATTTTAAATAGAGCAAAGATTGAATTTTGAACTGTGGGTCGATTAAGAACTAAAAAGATGAAAAGAAATAAAAATCAAATTGAGAAGAAACGCAAACGAAACATATATCCGATCTTGAGCCTGAAGCTCTGATACCAAATGATAAGATAAGGAATCAATACAAGGGGAATAAGATTCGGATTACCTTGTTGATCGAATATCTCAAGCCAAGAACACTTTGTTTGAGATTCGAATCACTCCAGAAGCAAGATCGATCATGTCTAGCTTCAATGATTCTTGTTGATCAAATATCTCAAGACAAGAACACTTGATTGAGATTCGAATCACTCCACAAGCAAGATTGATCATGTCGAGCTTGAATGATTCTACATGCAACCTAAACTACATAGAGTTGCAAAGAAACTTAGCCATTGGCTAAAGAAAAGCACAAATGCTTCTTTTGATATATCTTCTAAGTCTTATTACAAATACAACATAGATGGCTTTATATAGCCTCAAAATGAAACTATTAAAGGCATTCCAAAAGTTGTAACATTCACACTTTATGGCCATAACTAGCCATTATGTAAATGTAACCGAAATTAAATAAAAAGTCTTAAAATACAATAACTCTAAATTATAACCCACCCAAAATTTACAACAATCAAACTTTATTCTTCTTCAATGTAGCATGAATTGAAACATCTTTTGATAATTTTGACAACCTTTTCTTCACATCTTCATTGAAGCATATTGTATGATTGATGTCTCTTGGTTCATATCATTCTCCACTTCTTCAAGAGGATTCGTCCTCGAATCTATTTGTGAAACTTTGCTGCAAAAAATAAGTTATGGAAATACAAAGGACCTCACAACACTCTCTCACGTGTATACACTCAAGGAATTTTAGGCCACTCTGTTTGCACTCATTTACACAAATGAAGCTCTCATTCTCACCTCTCAAAATTTTAAATAGAGCAAAGATTGAATTTTGAACTTTGGGTCGATTAAAAACTAAAAAGATGAAAATAAATAAAAATCAAATTGAGAAGAAACGCAAACGAAACATATATCCGATCTTGAGCCTGAAGCTCTGATACCAAATGATAAGATAAGGAATCAATACAAGGGGAATAAGATTCGGATTACCTTGTTGATCGAATATCTCAAGCCAAGAACACTTTGTTTGAGATTCGAATCACTCCAGAAGCAAGATCGATCATGTCTAGCTTCAATGATTCTTGTTGATCGAATATCTCAACACAAGAACACTTGTTTGAGATTCGAATCACTCCACAAGCAAGATTGATTATGTCGAGCTTGAATGATTCTACATGCAACCTAAACTACATAGAGTTGCAAAGAAACTTAGCCATTGGCTAAAGAAAAGCACAAATGCTTCTTTTGATATATCTTCTAAGTCTTACTTACAAATACAACATAGATGGCTTTATATAGCCTCAAAATGAAACTATTAAAGGCATTCCAAAAGTTGTAACATTCACACTTTATGGTCATAATTAACCATTATGTAAATGTACCGAAATTAAATAAAAAGTCTTAAAATACAATAACTCTAAATTACTCTAAATTATAACCCACCCAAAATTTACAACAATCAAACTTTATTCTTCTTCAATGTAGCATGAATTGAAACATCTTTTGATAATTTTTGCAACCTTTTCTTCACATCTTCATTGAAGTATATTGTATGATTGATGTCTCTTGGTTCATATCATTCTCCACTTCTTCAAGAGGATTCGTCCTCGAATCTATTTGTGAAACTTTGCTGCAAAAAATAAGTTATGGAAATACGAAGGACCTCACAACACGCTCTCACGAGTATACACTCAAGGAAATTTTAGGCCACTCTGTTTACACTCAGTTACACAAATGAAGGTCTCATTCTCACCTCTCAAAATTTTAAATAGAGCAAAGATTGAATTTTGAACTGTGGGTCGATTAAGAACTAAAAAGATGAAAATAAATAAAAATCAAATTGAGAAGAAACGCAAACGAAACATATATCCGATCTTGAGCCTGAAGCTCTGATACCAAATGATAAGATAAGGAATCAATACAAGGGGAATAAGATTCGGATTACCTTGTCGATCGAATATCTCAACACAAGAACACTTGTTTGAGATTCGAATCACTCCACAAGCAAGATTGATTATGTCGAGCTTCAATGATTCTTGTCGATCGAATATCTCAACACAAGAACACTTGTTTGAGATTCGAATCACTCCACAAGCAAGATTGATCATGTCGAGCTTGAATGATTCTACATGCAATCTAAATTACATATAATTGCAAAGAAACTTAGCCATTGGTTAAAGAAGAGCATAAATGCTTCTTTTACTATATTTTCCAAGTCTCCCTTACAAATACAACATACATGGCTTTATATAGCCTCAAAATGAAACTATTAAAGGCATTCCAAAAGTTGTAACATTCACACTTTATGGTCATAATTAACCATTATGTAAATGTACCGAAATTAAATAAAAAGTCTTAAAATACAATAACTCTAAATTACTCTAAATTATAACCCACCCAAAATTTGCAACAATCAAACTTTATTCTTCTTCAATGTAGCATGAATTGAAACATCTTTTGATAATTTTTGCAACCTTTTCTTCACATCTTCATTGAAGTATATTGTATGATTGATGTCTCTTGGTTCATATCAATGTGGGTTCTTTCTCTTTTATATCTTGGATCATTAAGTTGCTGCAGCATTATTCCATTTCCCTTTTGTCGATCATGAGGACATCTTTAGGCCGGTTATCATCGTTGCCTAAACTAAAGGACTCCTCTTTCTCTATTTTGTTTGGTCATTAAAAAAAGCAAAAATGGCTGGTGGTGTCGATACAATTCTTTCTTATATCTGGATGGCGAGATAATTCCATCTTGAAAAGAGAAGCAGCCTGGTCCCGGAGTTCTCATAGCTGAAGATCCCTCAATTCAAACTCCAGTTGTCTAAACTCTTGTTCTTGTCTTACTTGTGATTGCAAGTTTCTTCGTAGTGCCAATAGTCTCCTTTTTTGTCCCACCGTATCAAGATTGAATCCTTGTCTTCGACTGTAACTCTTTTTTTCTTGAAACCAGAGGACGAGCAGCGGTACCAGGGTGATGAGCTTGAGTATCAAGCGTCTCAAGGGGCGAAGGAGTTAGAGGTGTCGGGGGTACTTGCTTGTGCGCTTCTAACGAGGATACCTCATCGAGATCCTGAGCATTGTTTGGTAAAGTCAAGAGTTCAGTGTGTCCCCAAGGATTTTTCATCCGATCCAGATACACTCCAAATGAGTAAGACACCAGCCCAAGCAGGAAACTAAGTCGACGCGAAGAAGCCAACAAGAAAGATGATACAGTATATGTGTTTTCAGAAGTGAAGGAATTTGACTTTTCTTTGATTTGCGGATCGAACAAAATAGACGAAAAAGAAAGATCAAGCCCCATGACATTCATTTCATTTCTTTTGTGATCAGCCAACCAAAAGACAATGAGAGAACGGCCAATTAAAGGGGGAGCACTAAGTTACTTACGTGACGGCACTTTCTCTTTCATTCAGGCACCATGAATTAGCTCACTCTTTGGAATTGGAATTTCTTTCTTCACCGGGCTTGGACCATGTCTCCCGAACAATCTCAGTACATATGGCACAAGACGATTCCACATATCGAGGTCGAAATGGGATCGGGTGTTTTCACGTCTTACCGTAGTGCTCGGTTTATCTTTCTTTCCGATTGATGAACAAGAAGGAAAAGATCACTATCACTATTGGATTTTGTAACTCGTCCCCGGCTACGTGTCCTTTCTTTGGACCCTTCGCCACCAGTGGAAGCAAGCTAGCCCCCTTTGTTGGTTGCCCCTTTCCCCTTTCTTTGATTGAATAAAAGGTCAACATTCAAGCCCAGCAAGAGGAGCATCAGATAGCTTCTGATATCATTCGACAACCTTTCGCCTTAAGCTGACTGACTAAGCAACCGTAGGCTTGGGCTCGAAAGGGATGTTGCAACTTGCGGGAAAGCCACGATCATACTCGACTCTATCTATAATAAGGGCGTATTAGAGTGGCGTTAGCTAGAAAGATTGCAGGGCGCTAGCTAGATGATCGGGAAAGCCACGATCATCTCAAAAGGTCTCAACCTGGAAAGAAAAGATAGATTCTCGACCGTAACTAAAGGACAGGCCCGATAGCCAAGAGTCATACGTAGGGGTGACTAATTAGTCAAGCTTTTGCTTTTGACTGATCTTTCTTTGAAGCCAGCTGACGGATGCGCGCTAGTAGCGCGGCTCGCTTCGCTTTTGTTAGGAGTAGGTGCTTCCCCTTCCCTTTCCCTTTCCCTTAGTTAGTTGGGTTGTGGGAAGGAAGAGGGCATTTGCATCGCGAAGGATTCAATCCAGCCACAGGTTCCCCTACGGCTACCTTTGATATGATAAGGAATCAATACAAGGGGAATAAGATTCGGATTACCTTGTCGATCGAATATCTCAAGCCAAGAACACTTTGTTTGAGATTCGAATCACTCCAGAAGCAAGATCGATCATGTCTAGCTTCAATGATTCTTGTTGATCAAATATCTCAAACACTTGTTTGAGATTCGAATCACTCCACAAGCAAGATTGATCATGTCGAGCTTGAATGATTCTACATGCAATCTAAACTACATAGAATTGCAAAGAAACTTAGCCATTGGCTAAAGAAAAGCACAAATGCTTCTTTTGATATATTTTCCAAGTCTTAAAATACAATAACTCTAAATTACTCTAAATTATAACCCACCCAAAATTTACAACAATCAAACTTTATTCTTCTTCAATGTAGCATGAATTGAAACATCTTTTGATTATTTTGATAACCTTTTCTCCACATCTTCATTGAAGCATATTGTATGATTGATGTCTCTTGGTTCATATCAACCTTGTTAAGACTTCACCCCAGTCAAAGACCCCACCTTGGTATGCGGCAATAAGACCACCAAAAGCCTTTGTGGCACTAGTGTGACCCGGAAGTCATGGGTGAGACTTGGTCCGATGCTTCGGGCGAAACCCATTCCCAGGGTGTGACGGGCAGTGTGTACAGGGTCCGGGTACATATTCACCGCGGCATGCTGATCTGCGATTACTAGCGATTCCAACTTCATGTTCCCGAGTTGCAGAGAACAATCCGAACTGAGGCAATCTTTCCGGATTCGCTCCGTCTTACAGCCTTGCTTCCCATTGTAATTGCCATTGTAGCACTTGTGTGGCCCAGCCCATAAGGGCCATGCGAACTTGACGTCATCCCCACCTTCCTCCAGTATATCACTGGCAGTCCCTCGTGAGTGCGGCACGCACCTTTTCTTTTTTTCGGAGCTGGTTTTGGCAGGGCGTACTAAACCCACTTCGTACCACCCCACCAGGTGGCTCGCCTGAATGTCGAGTCTTTTTAGTAAAGCACGCTAGCAGCAATCAAACTAAAGCGCACACTCGAAAGTGCTTCGTTCGAAAGGATCAGGCTCCCAGATTACTGACAACACTGCTACGTGCTGGCACTCAATTAGTCGCGCTGGCACGTCACTCGGCTCCTCGGCGAACTTCGGTTGCAAAGACTTGATCCTTAGGCGCATGTCTCAGCAACACAAAACGAGGGTTTCGCTCGTTATAGGACTTGACCAAACATCTCACAACACGAGCTGACGACAGCCATGCAGCACCTGTATGAAAAAATTACCATCCCGTTAAGGACACAGGTTTTCTTGTTCATATGTCAAGGGCTGGTAAGGTTTTGCGCGTTGTATCGAATTAAACCACATGCTCTACCACTTATGCAGGCCCTCGTCAATTCCTTTGAGTTTCGGTCTTGTGACCGTACTCCCCAGGGGGAGTGTTTCACGCGTTAACTGGGCCCCTGATCCGCGTAGACCAAGGGCGAACACTCATAGTTTACGGCATGGACTACCAGTGATATGAACCAAGAGACATCAATCATACAATATGCTTCAATGTAGATGTGAAGAAAAGGTTGTCAAAATTATCAAAAGATGTTTCAATTCATGCTACATTGAAGAAGAATAAAGTTTGATTGTTGTAAATTTTGGGTGGGTTATAATTTAGAGTAATTTAGAGTTATTGTATTTTAAGACTTTTCATTTAATTTCGGTTACATTTACATAATGGCTAATTATGGCCATGAAGTGTGAATGTTACAACTTTTGGAATGCCTTTAATAGTTTCATTTTGAGGCTATATAAAGCCATGTATGTTGTATTTGTAAGGTAGACTTGGAAAATATAATAAAGAAGCATTTGTGCTTTTCTTTAGCCGATGGCTAAGTTTCTTTGCAATTCTATGTAGTTTAGATTGCATGTAGAATCATTCAAGCTCGACATGATCAATCTTGCTTGTGGAGTGATTCAAATCTCAAGCAAGTGTTCTTGCCTTGAGATATTTGATCAACAAGAATCATTGAAGCTAGACATGATCGATCTTGCTTGTGGAGTGATTCGAATCTCAAACAATGTTCTTGTCTTGAGATATTCGATCAACAAGGTAATCCGAATCTTATTCCCCTTGTAGTTGATTCCTTATCTTATCAACCAGAGTATCTAATCCCGTTCGCTTTCGCACCCCAGCGTCGGTAGGGACACAGAGAGCTGCCTTTGCTTTTGGTGTTCCTTCGTAGATCTCCGTATTTCACCCCTACACATGAAATTTCACTCGCCACTGTCTCACTCAAGTGAATGGGTTTCGAGAGCATTCCATCAGTTTTTGGCAACTTTCACTCTCAACTCGATGAACCGCCTACGTGCCCTTTACGCCCAGTCATTCCGAAGAACACTTGCCCCCCCCCCCCCCC